GAATAGGAGTGATGACCCCTCGTTTCTATATTGTTGGAATATGGTTCTCCTCCATACATAATTGATAGAACATAGCCAGAGGTTCCGTCAGATCACGGACTGATGCCTGTAAAGCCTTTGGTCGAATATTATTGACACCAGGAGATCTGTGGATGCGCAGGTACAAGAGTTTCTTTGGCACAGCTTCTGCAGTAAGTGATATTGGATAAAGCTGACGGTAGGACAATAGAAACAGGGATAACCGTTGGGCCCGTTACTCTCTGGAACCTTTCTCAGTAATGGGACCGTAAGAGAGTGGCTGCTTCCGTTGCTGATCGCGTGCACCCGTCATTCGTGATCACTGCTGGAAATCCGCGTTGCACCTTACGAACACCATTAACATGCCTGTATAAGAGTTTGCGATTCGTGCAGAATCTCTTCATTAACTCCTGCTGATGCGTCCCCTTGTCATCGCGAATCAAGGTCACCCAGAATTTACGCTGTGCCACATAGGCAATCCAGATTTCGGAATTCGGGGAGTTCCTGTGAGCTCTCTTGCTAAGTCCTTCAAGGACATGGATTTACTTGTTCTGCTCCTCAGAAATGACTTCCTCCTCCTTTGATGATGGGAGAATTTCCGTTCAGACGCGTGCTTTCCCAGTGTGCTAAATGTCCTTGTGAAAGTAGCCCAGGCGATTCCTGGGGGCAATCAGTCAAGAAGGTCCAAAGTACCTGCTTAACACGCGCGGATAACACGTTGTAGTGCGTGACCGTACATACTATATCATCCTCTTCCTCAGGATATTCCAAATAAATAGTTAAACAGTAGTCACACGGTCACTGCAACCCAGTAGTGTGCTTGTAATTATCCCGTCGACCATGAGTTCTTGGTTGGTGAGCACAAGATCAAGTATCGACGGCTTGTTAGCAGTTTGAAATCCGGTGGGAAAGGTCACGTGGTTGGTACAAATGGTAGCTAGAAATTGCCTCTTGTAAAGAGGCTTTGAATTTCATGCTATCGGTCACGCCTATTTCCAGGTAATGCACATCAATATCGCCTGCGATGGGAACGTGACTGTATGAGTTGCTCAAAGCAACCTTGGAGAATGTGGCTCAGTTTGGAGTCCATTTCACAGTTTGGTGGAGGGTAAATCACAGCTAGAAGACATGTGTCTTTGTTCAGTAACCATAGCCAGCACCAAAGCGAATCTGAGACATGGAGCTTTGGGTGGTCAATAAGTTCACATTGGAGGTTAGCCTTGCAATACAGAATTACGACACTACCACTCCCAGATCTGTCATTCCGAAGCAGCGACATACCAGGTAAATTTACTTCAGAATCTGCAATCTCAAAGCCTAAACAGGTCTCCGTAATCATAATGGGATCCCGCGGTTGTGACGCCTGGCGTTCTCTAAGTTCAGCCAAGTTACTAAGAGGACCTTGTGTGCTAGTATACAAGCGTGAGAGGGTTTTGATGTTATAAGTGTGTGGGTAGACAACAAATTCGTGTATGGTTTAAGCCGACCGTTCGTTCGTCGGTCGCTAATCGTTTTTTTGCGTGGGTAATTGGTTCTTGAATTTCAGGCAGGCTGCGTGGTAGCAGGAAACATCAAAGATCGAGATGTTCTCTCGTGTTTCTTCTTGTCGCGAATACTACATTGCCCACCGCTCTGAAGAATTGTGGAAGCAAATAATTTATTGAGGTTGCATGGTCCAATGAAGTGCTGACAAATAGTGGCATTGCGCCTGCCACCTTTAGCCTAACCTCAGCAGGTGACCTGGAGCGATGCTTCAACCAGCTACCCAATGGAATTTTTGTCATTCCTTTGGAGTGTAACACTACTTTCAATACGTTTAAAGCGCAGCCTTTGTAGTTTGGAGATGAAGAAATTTTCGTTAGTGATTTAGCGATGAGGCGGTCCACAGAGAGTGCATCGCAGATGTAGCACCACTGCTATCGGTCATGTTTCTGCGCATCGTGATCAGGAGAGCACGGTAGTTCAGGAACACCATGAAGGAATAGGTCTGTCTTGCTTTTGTTTGCAGAAGGACCGCTATGGTTCTCCTTTTCCTTTGACAGCGCTTCCCAAGGAATATCCGGTAGTATGCGTACCCCGCTTGATGAATTGTGAAGACAAACTGCTAAGAGTAGAACTGTCTCTGTCGCATTTGAGTACAAGTTACTCGGCGAAATCGGGGTTCGCCGTGGTGCATTGAATTTTAGTGACGTGCTACGACTCGTAGTGCATTTGTCTCAACCCGAATACTAATCGTATCACAGATGGAATTCCACTGGTTACGATCATGCATCAACTTGCCCTTTATCGTGCCAGAGATGGACTCAAGACCGTAAGTGCACACGACAATTAACGCACTGTGGTACTGTTTAGCGAAGTTGGTTTGAGTGTTGTGGCTAGTAACGGATTGTTTGGCAGACACTAAAGAATATTGCAAAACGGCGTCGCATCACTCTTGCTTTGTCTAGAAAATGGACGTACGAGTCGCTCTGGGCGGATTTAGCGAGGCGATCGATGTGTATCCCAGTTGGCTCTGGACTGCCGGTGTTGTGACAACTCGTGAGATAATACAACTAGGGATGAGCTAATAGCAGTCACACCGGATGTGGCATGCCTAGTTAAAGGGTTAGTAAATTGTCGGAGTAGGTGGTGCAGATACCGCTGGGCGGTTAGTAAGACTGACTTTAGTCTTCGACTTAGGGACAGAGTTCTGAGGGGGTTGCTGTATAACAGGATCGGTGTTACTCGATTCTAATGGCAAAACCCTGAGGTTCGCCATCTGTTGAATTGTTTCAGTCAGTTTTTCATACATTTTCAAGAGCGATATTATACAATTGACTATTGGGATTGCTCTGTATTTTGAAACAACTAGTGCACATCAGTCAAATTGCGTTGTCTCTTGTATTGTGGCTGACTTAAACCAGCATAACGGTGAAACGGAAGGCCAAAAAGGCACAAATAAGGTCTCTTCTGACGGTGCGTGCACAGTTCCGCTCACCACGTTTGCGATTAGGTGAATTCAATTCCATTAAGGACCGTCATTGCAAACGAACGCTGTCCTTGTCTGGTCACGTGAGGTAGAGGGCGAGTAACACTCGCGTTCTTTGTTCCGAGTACACAATGGACGTCGGTTAAGTGGGTGTCATGACGAGAACACACATACACGGAGTTTGGCTAGCCTACTGATCCACGCTAGTTCCTGTAGGACAAAGCCGTTGGAATTAGCTCGTAGTGAGGTCTCACCCAGCCGGCCACGGTATGGACTGATGTTAAGCGCGGAAAGCTGCATGTTGAGTTACTGTGACTGTTCACACACCGAAAGGGAGCGGAAATCGAACTCTACCTTAGGCCTTAGGATTGAGAACACACAGAAGTGAAGAAAGGGGGTGCTACTGCAAGGCTTTACTACCCTAAGCAAACAGAAGGCGCTTACAACTGATCAACGACATACGGTCACAAACAACTGCCTTTGGTGCACAGATTACACTGCATTCTTGTGGCTTTCACGACTCTATGTTGTAATCAACAATTACCATGCCGACAACAGCATCAGACAGAAGTAAAGTAGGCAATCAAATCAGGAGGCGAATGCAAACGCGACATTTGCGAATTACGTCCTGTAAAGCATCGAGCCAAGCACAAGAGGGATCACATAGACTACAGCGTGCAAGGCGCAACTGATCAATAGCACCGAGTTGGTCGTCAGTAAGTTCAGCGCCCACAGTCAAGTCAACTGTTGTCCACCTCGAGCCGCGCTACATCTGGCGAACAGAACAAAGCCCTGCTCGGTAAGCGGCGACCGGGCATGCGTAGCACAAGCCCAAGCCAACGCAACGTATTCAATGCTATATATTGCCCTAAAATACTAAGCTGATTAGGGTCGCTTGTTATGCACCTATGCACACTATCGTTTCGGACACACCAGTGTCATCCGACAGCAGCAATGCTCTATTGGAAGCGATGGTCTAACACCTGAAGGCACCTCAACCCCGAGTCGTACTCCCATAGAGGAGAAGTGCGTTCAGTGGTCCTGTATACTTTATCTCTCAGATGGAGAGAAATCCTCTTGGGGCTACCATGTTGCCATAGACACAAAGATGCTGTTCAGACTTTCGCGATGCGTGAGCCAAATTTAGCAGTCATAGCTAATGCGGATGCAAAGGTAGATGAGTTGATCCACTATCACCAAGTCTGTATCGTCAAGAGTAAGTAAGTTGTCAGCCAATTGGTGCTCCTGCAACAGCGTTTTACAGTTCACCTTCGGCCGATGGGTTAAATGCCCGCTGTCATCATCGGTTCGATATGTAGAGGCCCGAGGCCGCACCGCATGGGAGTCAAAAAGGTGGTATGATTTCGGAGAAGCTTGTGACGAACGTCACTTAGACACTAGAAGAGACATCGACTCGATTCAAATAAGCCTATTCCTGTTCCATTCGCCAAGCCTACAAGAAAAACATGATGTCCGTATGCAGTCCAAGAAGAGTACGGGAATCTAAGTTCAAGGTGCACCCCTGTTTAACTGTAAACCAAAAGAGATGTAACCTTGCGTTCGCCTTTGGATTGATTCAGTAAACACCTAGGGTCCACGGTTCACTCAAGGAGAGTACCTTACGTTTCGATACAACAAACAGCCCGTTTCATTGCCGCCGATATTAGATTTAAAAAGCTGACGTTGACAGTTTGTGGAAATATCACTCAGTGTGTAGATGCGGCTTGTCATTAATTCGTCGACATTTCACTGGCAAACTTTCCTCCTTGTGGACATTTGCACTCTATAACCGCAGTCCACTTAAGATAGTAGTCAATGTGATGTTTTTTCCAAGTGTGTCAATTTATGCATACTGGCCTATAGTAACGAGAAATAGTTCCAGAAACACACGGTAAGCAACCGCATTTGTGACTGATAAACAGCTGGTAAACGAATAGATTTATGGACGCCGTGACTATCGGAAGGAAAAGAATTCCCATCGACTGCGAGATCAAAGAATAACACGCTCATCATCTCGAGTTGCTCAATTCAAGACGATGACGAGGTGGGATATTCGAAAAGAAGAATAGTGCTGATGTGAGTCTCGAATGAACATTATGTGCAGAGCGATTGCTGTGCATGTGTATATGCATCAAAAAAAGAAAATGTGACGACGACACATCACGAGGGAGATCAGCCGACGAGATCGATCACAAGAGGGCGGTGGAGGAGGAGGAGGAAACAGTGAGAAAAATGAACGAAACTAAAGTGTGACAATGTAAAAGTACGACAAGAAGTTGGTAGGCGCAGAGATGAGAGACTCAAGACAGTGGAGAACGTACACTGCCCCCTCCCCGAAAGGAAGTTTGGTGCGTGGGCCAGCCCAATAAGTAATGTGATCTGTGAATAATAAAGGTACACGCAAATTTTATAGTCAATGAGCTTATGATGAATGAATGACGTGGGGATGGCCGCAAAGGCGCTGAAGAAGTAGCGACTGAAGAGCACTAAGTTTGTTTGGCATGTCAACTCGCTGAGGGATTGGAAGGAAAGCTAAACATAGCGGTGGCACTGGACGCTTGGTGATCTGGGGAGAGAAAGGGAAAAGCGGTTAGGCTCTAGACAAAACGATCAGCAAAAAGAAAATTATGTGAAGAAAGGGCAGCTATTAGAGACAATATTACGACAGGCATGAAGGCCATTATCATAATCATACGAAAACAAACAATGATTTCAGATGAAGTGGTGAAAAAAGATAAACGTAGTGATATAGTGTTCATTCCGATTAGAAAAGCTCCTGGCGAATCAATAGCCACGTAAACTGAACAACACAGAGGATGTCAGAGAAACGTCAGATTAGCGCGAGCAGGTAAGTGTGTTTTGGTGGACATTTTCCTAAGGAGCAAACAAGCACAATAGCAGTACATCAGTCACTTGAACTGATGCTTCGCTGCCGTACAATCACAACGGTCTATGGAAAGAGGAAGGGGACCTGGGGTAAAACCTTGATCAACTAAACAGACATTCAGGGTCAACGCGCCTACACCTTGAGTCAACAACATACCATCACAAACAGCTTTCCATCATGCAAAGACAAGACGGCCCCATTGCGACTTTCACTGCCCCGCGTCATACTCAGCCATTACCCTGCAGATAACAGCACAAAACACACGTTAAACAGGCAGTCCGACTATGAGATGAAAGTAGGCACGCCAATGGTGCCGACTGAGAGCGATGTCTAGTAAAGTCAATAGGCAAGCTCAAGGCAGGTCAAGTGGACACCAGCCCGGAAGGCGAGACGGACCGACGGCACCGAGTTTGGTCATCAGTGACTATTTTCCGCCGCCAAGTCAACTTGTGTCCACCTCGAGCCTTGCGTCACCTTATATCTGGCAGACTAAACAAGGCCCTTCTTGGTAAACGTAGTACGTGCCTAAGCCATCGCAACTTATTCAGTGCTATCTGTTGTTCTAAGGAACTAACCTGGTTATCACTGCCTAGTACTCGCTTGCGTACAGCATCGTTGCGGACAAGTTAGGTGCCATCTGACAACAGCAATGCTTCGCATACAACGATGATCAAAGATTTGAAGGCGCCTCAGATCTTCAGACGGAATGGGCCAAGTCGCAGTTCCATAGACAAGGACGGCTTTCACTGTGGCTTTGTAAATACGACCTTTCAGACCGGGGGAAACCCCTTTCCAAAGCCACAGATTCAAGAAATCCGTGCTAGTTTTTGCAATTCATAAACACCTATTTTTGACAATTTATGCGCATAGCCCAAAAGCGGGGTTTACAGTAAATAGCAGGACAATATCCAGTGGTCTGGAATAAATAATCCTATAAACCGGGCGGAACCGTACACCAAGTTGGTTAGTGTGCTGTGTGGAGGAGGATACGCGCATATACGTGTCATACACGCTGTGTCCAGCGAATAGTGGAGACACAGAGTTGAGAAATGTCGAACTGTGAAAGATCCAAGGAATTGAGATGTCTCGCTGGAGCAATCCGTAGTTGTTTAAAATCACAGAATTATAAGTAATATCCGACACTTGGTCGTCGCACATATCTCATAGGAAACTACATTTGACCAAGTTCAATTTGTACGCTCGTTCCACGTCGTCGATCACAAAGTCTATAACATATGCAGTAATTCCCTTGGGGGTAAGCAAGTCAGGTTTGATAAAGGAGCTAAAAATGGTATTCCGAGCTCTGGTGTAGTATGAATGTTCCGACGACGGATTACATTCACAACCTGTTCCGTGATGCTGTTGTACCATTTACAGCAAACATAGTGTGTGACTGCACATGACCAAACGGCGCGTGATAGCGTTTCCTTCTGGTCACAAGCTCCACGGCAGTGAAGAAAGGTTGAGAGAGGTGGTCTGCCTCTAACTTGGCGTGCCCCCGTTGAGAGGACTCCTGCCTGCAGCTGCATCTCGCATCTGAATAACCGAGGGAAGATTTTAGCCATTTGTCTGAGCCAGTGGTGAACCAAAGGTGTAGTTGTAACGTTCCAGAGCGAGGGGACATCGACAAACAAAGCTGTCGAGGAAGGGCTGTCCGCACACAAAGGTGGGATCGGTGGCAATGCGATGGATGTGATATTAGCAAATATTGGTAATCCAGGTTGTTAAGTTGGTGATTTGAGTGTTCGCTGAGCATGGCATTTTAGTTGCAAATGTTTCGTCCTCCCTCGAGGTGACATTGTCAGTGCGCTAGTATGTACCGGAGCTGAGCGGCGCGATGCGAAGCGAGCCACCTCGAGTGGTGACGAAACGTTTGCATTCAAACTGCCCAGCTCAGGGAACAATCAGACCACCAACGCAGTGAATAAATGTCGTGAGGAATCGCGAACAACCAATCAGGTTACAGGAGAGCTTGACAGATGGCGCTCCAGGTGAGATTTCCGTAGAAGAATCATGGTAGACAGAGTGAAATGAAGTCACCGATGTATCGTTGGGCAGCCGCAGCCCTTTGCATACATGGAAGCAAACTAATGTGTCCATATTCTTTAATGTATAGCGATGTACCGCCGCCAGAGAGACGCTGTGAATGTGACGGGGTAGTAAAAGGCCGTAAACTATTTCTGATCGCTAGTATAGCTTCCAGGGAGCTCGAGTGAAGCTGCGAGCGTATTGTTCGAGGAATGTAGGCAGTAATTTGCCTTTCATTTGAATGGAAGGACAAAATAATTGAAAGACTCGTATAGTTGAAGCGAAAATAAATATATAAATAAATAAATAAAATTGTATATGGCTCGACGATGCGAGAAGCCGTTCCCAGAAGGGACGGATCAAATAATGGCACAGCAGTTTCATTTCATGGTATAATAACTTTAAAAAATGTGAGCACAAAATGAAAATTTGTGTAGCGCGAAGCGGTCCAAAATATTTACATTCCTCTTGTTCTATCGTCTGACAAGTTTTTAGCAGTCACATGAGTTGATCGCACACGAAAAGAGAAAATAAAGTGCTGCGGGTCAATAAAATATAACCACTTGTGCACTTGGCCACATGCATTTTCAGGCACCATTAACTCCGTTCTCAAAAGCGTTATCTAAGGAATGTGCTGTTCGAAACATTATTATCACATTCTGAACGGTTAAATGATCGTTTATCGAAAGCCTAAACAAACGCAATGTGCAACAGGTTCTGATAGCTCTTGGAAGTTTGTTCCAAAGCTTTGAGCAGTGTATTAAGAAGAAACGCTCCCTAATTCGCGTATTGAACTTTGGAATCATGACCGTTGTCTCCTTATTTCGTAGCTCGTATCTAGTGTTAACGGACATATGGACACAGTTAGCATAATTGTGCATGTGATGGTGAATTATTCTGTACATGAAACACAAGTTCATCTTCATTATCCGTAGCCAAAGTGGGTCAAGTCCAAGTTTTTCACTGCGCTCTCTGTAGATCATCTTGGAGGAATATCCGCACAGCTTCTTTGTAAAGCGTCGCTGTACCCTCTCAAGAGCATGCTGGTCATATTTCCGCAGATTCGACTGTAATAGTGAGCAGTATTCCATGCCAGGTAACACATATGTTTTGTAAAGCCAGATACGAGATTCTGTGAGTTGAAATTTATGACAGATATAGCCAATAGTCTTCATGGCTTTCGAAACTTGGAAGTCACAATGTTCCGAAAAGTTGAAGGTAGTGGAATACCGCACACTCAAGTCGCGAATCACTTTGCACTGTGATATAAACGTGCCTTGTAATAATAGACTGCCTGGTGGAACTTCGCATTTGTACGACAGAATATTACACTTGTCCACGGAAAAGGACATCTGCCACAGTTTGCACCAGGATTCAAGTGCCGATAGATCTTCCTGAATGTGGCACAAGGCTACGCGGGTATCTGCACGTTCTTGTGAGTAGACGATTTTAATGTCATCAGTAAACAGAAAAGTAGCACCATGTCTTATTCTATGAAATACATCGTTGACGTAGAGGAGAAAAAGAAGTGGACCAAGTACACTTCCCTGAATTACTCCACTGGTGACTGCTTTCGGTTTAGAGACACGGTCCCCAATACGCATCACCTGATGTCTGTCAGCTAGGTATGACGACAACCAAGAAAACATTGGTTCTCCAATACCTATTTCCTTCAGTTTGAGGAGTAGTCTTCGATGCGGCACTCTGTCGAATGCTTTTTGCATGTCTAAGAACAGGACAATAACACTGTTGCCTTTGTCTATGGCAGCCGTTGTGTGGTTTAAGAAGTCTGTCTGGCATGTCGCACAAGATCTGCCCTGCAAAAAACCGTGTTGTGAATTGTTGATGAAGTTTTTCTTATTCAAGAAAATAAGTAATTCATCTTTCACTATCCTTTCCATAATTCTAGATATTACAGGCGTGTGATTGATGGGGCGATAGTTTTTAATTTCGTGAACGTTTCCATTCTTATGCCGCGGGATAACAACGGAAGTCTTCCAGTGATTAGGATATACTGCACTGTTAAAAGAGAGCGCAAACATGTTGAGCAATAGAAGAGGCAAGTCGCTCCTACCGCTTTTTAACAAACAAGGGGGAATTCCATCAGGTCCTGGGTAAGTCGAGGAAGACAAGCGGGAGACTAGACCGGAGAATTTTGCAATAGTGAATTCCACTGTGCATAAACTTTCAGCAATGTGTGGTGTGACAAGCGCTGGTGTGGCTAGCGGCTCATCAACCATTGATTCGGCGAAATAGGCGCTGAAAGCCTCACAAATTTCACCCGGAGCATCAAGGTATGTGCCATCCGGCACAATGATAAAACTGATGGAATTACTGCGACGCAAACCTCTGGCACGAAACAGTTTGGACAGTTCCGTTGTTTTATTCGGGCCATTCAAAGCTTTGTATTCTTCTAATATGAGATTGCGAACATTTAGATGCCCGAGTTCTTCCATGATCTTTGCCTGCTGCAGTATTAGCGCAAAGTCTGCTGTTAATCTGAATTTCCGCCGGATCTTATGAAGCTTGCGTGTGATACGTAACACTTTGCGATCGGGATTTTGTTTTCTTAGGCGGGCACACTTTAGAGGTACTAATGAATCAATGCAAAGACCGATGATATCATAGAACACGTCTGATGCTTTTTGAGG